CTGCATTAATCTACTGATAGACGGCATTTACTTACTTACAAAAGAATCCATCATACTGAAAGCTGGTGGTTTACAAGGCAATTTTTTTCAAGAGCTTTTTAAGAAATATTTTAAGAAACTCGACTACTTTCACTGCCGAAAACAACATTACCAGAGATAGCTTCCATTGATGAGTGGTAGTGAAGAATCAGACATGCCACATCGCGGTGTATTCATCAATTTGCGCGTGGCAGCATCGAGCTTTTTGGTTGTAGACAGACGAAAGGTAGTTTGAAATTGTTTTAACATTGTTGTTAAGCTCGTCTGACAAGATGGATGATTGTAATCACTTGAATTTGAACCGGGAAGACTTCCGCATGGATTATAGCCGAAGCGAGTGAGATATATGTAGGCATCCATCTCCGTTTTGACAAGAGAAACTTTGAACTGAGGATTATTACTAGGCGGTTTAGCCATGTTCTTCGATGAAACTTTCTTAGGCGGCTTAGCAGTTACAAAAATAAGTACGAGAGCACAAAGAACAAGCAGCGAAAACCATCGCATTGTCTATCTAAAGTCGATAATGGTGAATGACGATTAAAATAATCTCAAATGTGTTACACGGTAACAATTATCTTTTTTCTTTACCCATAAAGGAATGAATGAGAAGAGAAAATTGCCAAGAGAAAAAAAGAGTTGACTTTTTAAAGGGCATTACATTCGACTACGAGAGAGTTAATCAATCACAAGATAAGCTTCTTTTTGATGTTCTATTACCAATTTCACTTTCGTGCGAGATAGAGAAGAAGATTGAAAACAAAATTTTGATAACATGAACGGATTCGACCAACGTTCTCATCTCTAGAAATCGTAAAGTAAATCACCATTAATTGTTCAATCCGAGGTCATTTTTTGCGCCTGGGTTTACCTCGAGATTAGTGTTTGTCATCTATCAATTATTCTTTTCTTTAACTGATGAATATCAGGATCTGCCATCCATATGATAATATAGATGGGCGATCCTTCATCGCCGATATATTCTTTCGTGGTTATTTCTCAGCCTATTATATGTTGTTATCTCTCGTTCTCCTTTATTCCTCTCGTCTGATATATATATAAAGGGTGTTACCTAAGTTCTGATCCCAAATTGTTAATGATAGTTTTAATACTTTTTCTTGAGATAGAAAGCTGAAATTTTTATCACATCTATATCTAATTAAATTCTTTAATTTCTAAAAGTTTCAGCTCTCTAGTTATAACTAACGATGAAATACATATATAGATACATAAAATTTTTACTTGATTTTTACATTATTTTCACTGTCGAAATAAAATGAGACAAAACCGAGTAAGAAAATTTATGTATTCGCCGATGTATTTCACCATTAGTTATAGTTAGAGAGCTGAAACTTTCAGAAATAGAAGATCTTGATTAGTTGTATATGTGATAAAAATTTTAGTTCTCTAATTCAAGAAAAAGTATTAAAACTATTATTAACAATTTATTCTCAGTTATCATGAGCATGAGAGACCCATTTTTGTATTTTTATGTATTTCAATCTCGGTGATGTATTTCACCATTAGTTATAGCTAGACAGCTGAAACTTTTAGAAATTAAAGATCTTAATTAGATATAGATGTGATAAAAATTTCAGCTCTCTATCTCAAGAAAAAGTATTAAAACTACCATAAACAATTTGGGATCAGAACTTAGGTAACACCCTTTATTGTTGTTTTTTCTCTTTTTTTCTTCACTAGTTGTCGTTTCTCTTGTTGTAGACTCACTTGTTCAGGGTACTTTTGAAAATAAACTAAAAGGAAATCTAACAATGAGAAACAATCTTGCATTTGATAGTAAGAAACTATTCGAAAAAGCCTAATTTATTACAAATAAAGTGGAATTTTCGTTCAACTACCAATTAAGAGTGAGTTTTTGAGAAAATCAGGCACTGTAGGGCACTGACGATGGAGTAACATTCCAGAACTATCTAATTTTATTATATTTCCTCGACTGTAGGGAGAGTGTGGGTGGGGGTGTGGGAGTGGGTGGTGTGGGGTGTGGGTGTCGGGTGTGGGTGTGGGTAAAGCTAACATAAACCTACACCCACACCCACACCCATCCACACCCACATCCATCCACACCCACACCCACCACACACCCACCCACACCCGCCACACACACACACGCCCATCCACATCCACACCCACACCCACACCCCCACACCCCACATCCCCACACTCCACACACCCCCACACCCCACACCTACATCCAACCCACACCCACACCCACCCACACTCACACCCGCATACAGGTGAAAGAAAATCCGAAAGAAGCTAAAAAATTCAGTCATCAGTAAAGCAAAACGTCGGTTACTGCGTAAGCGAGTTTGTGCATTAGGTGGTGAGATAAGCGTTCGATCGAGACAAGCCATAGCCAGAAGATATGATGGAATGGCTGATATAACAAAACTAATGTAGATTCTTATACGATAAAAACTTCAGATCGAACAGATAGATCTGTTCCAAAACTGCTAAGTAGATTAGGAACAATATTAACATCGATAAAAATTAAATTTGTCAGCATGCAGCCAATAAAGAAAATGATGCATGGATTTTTCCTCATTAGGTTTTGAAAAAATACAAAAAGACGCAGTACACTATTGACATTGCCAATGATAATGCATATTGGAAGTCCGATACGAAGCATCTGAATTTGTATATTGGCTAGTGAAGCTGTTGTCATTTGTGCACACTAAGAAAATGACTGTTAAGCAGCGGCTGATGATGCATCACTTTATATATAACTCTACACATTAGATATCAAAATTAATTCACAAACAGATCTCTTTCTGTTCTTGGCTCATATCTCTGAAGCTAAATTAACTGTCAAAAATACTGTCTTATTAATTTTGCTATCGTAAACAGAGGAACTCGCAGATTCTCATGTAAACAGCAATCACACCAATGTTATAAAATGTTGTTCATCTTCATTTATCTGCATATTAAAGTAACATACGATGCAAAAGTAGGGTGTGAGTGTGGATGGAAAGGAATACAAATACCCATACCTGCACCCCACACCCACACCCGCACCCACATCCACACCCTCATTTGGTTACTTGAACAAAGCTTTTTCGTATGCAGGACGCACCCGGTCTCTATCTATATCCCTTCACCTGTTGGAAAAAGTTTTGTATCTCTCTACATTAAAAAGAAAAAGTGTTTGTAAATGTTTTTGTCATAGACGAATAAAAGAGAGATAAATATTGTATTCGCAAGTGATATATTTGAGTAGGCCGTTAGACGCTGAACAGAATGTGCTATTTACTTTTTCTTTTTTTTCATTCTTCAAAAAATTTATTTTTTGTATGATGAATCATTAAAAATTGTAGACTTTTTACCTTGAACCTCTCTATCTCAACAAGCTGGTAAGCTGTCGGGCTGAAATTTGTTGTAGTCGTGTGACACATACTAAGGAAGCGAAGAAAAAAATAAGCTTTAAAATTGGGCCATAAGAAACGAATTTTCAGAAGAAATAGTTCAAAAACGTAATTGTACAACAGAAATATGATTCACTGATATATGAGAATATAGAAATACATTTTGGACCACTCTAAAGACACTGATAGAAAATAAAAAAATTTTGAACATCGCATAGTGATGAAACATCTTGTTCTAGAAGGCTATGTCTCATTTAATATTTATGAATGTATAGCGACAGTTTCTGATGACCAGTTCTCGATCCATCATCTCACCTTCTGAATGGGATCGCTGTTGTAAACATGAATTATCATAGATTGATAATAATCTAGACATGAATAACATTACTATAAAATTGTAAATAACATAACTATTAAAACTTTTAGAAGCCTGATGATCGAAGACAGTTGACTCGTACCTGAATAAATAGCGGTACACTGTTTACATGTCAAATTTATAGAGCATAGCCTTTTATATGATCAATTATACATGACTTAGGGTCAGTTCACGAAAATACCATATTCTAGAACACGATGTCAACGACGTATTGATCATATCTAGGACTATCATTAACAGTTCGTTATTCGCTTTAAAATGACGAGTTCATTAAATTTTTTTTGTGACTTAATAAGATTTTCTTAAAATAAGGAATTATATTAAAAAGGAAACTCACGAAGGAAGACATAGGATTGATAAATCACTTTTGACTCGAGCGTATTTCCATTATGTAGCTCCTAATGAGTTATGAATACCTTGAAAAGAGTTCAGGCCCATAGTTTATTATTGCTGAGATACTGTATTTTTACGATAATTGTTTAATAGAATGCCGTTGTTTCCCTCAAGAACATCAGAAAACCTAACTTTCGAATTTCGACTTGAAACTTTGCAAAGAAATAGGTCTTAACAAGTATAGTTTATTGTGAAAGTTTTTAGATCTTTTTGTTGCTCCTATCCTAAAATACGACTATGGTAAAAGCGTGTCTTGTACATCGCTCATAAATAGAAGAGACTCAATGTTCGTTTTCCAAGATAGGAACAACGAAAAGATCTGAAACTTTCACAATAAACTAAACTTGCTAAGACCTATTTCTGTGCGAAGTTTTAAGTCGAAATTCGAAAGTTAAATTTTCTGGTGTTCTTGAGAGGGACTACGACATTCTATTAAACAATCATCGTAAAAATGTAGTATCTCAGCAATAATAAACTATGGGTCCGAACTCTTTTCAAGATATTCATAGCTCATTAGGATCTACATAATGTACATAGTCGTGACTCAAAAGCAATTGATCAGTTCTGTGTATTCCCTCATTAATATAAAACAATAAGAAGTTGCACAAAAAAAAGTCGCATATAAAAAAAGAAAAGTAGGTACGTTATACAAAATGAAAAAAAACAAGAAGATATAAACTAAACGTCATGAACAAAAAAAAGCAGGATGAATTTGTTTATCATCAAAGAAGATGGTCACTTTGATGGAATATTTAAGAATATACACAAAATAAAAGATGAAAGATTCAGTAATAATAATAATAACGAGGATTTCATTCAACAATCAGTTCAAAATGAACACTTCCAGTTTTATATTCTAGACTATCATTATGATCAATGTTTTGTGCATAAGCACGACATTCAACATTAATTAAAACATTTGTTTCAATTCTTTTAAAATAAACAAAAACTAATGGACTTCGATAACCATCTTGATTAACATATGGAAAGAAATTCTGATGAAATCCACCTATTGTTTTTGTATTCATTTGGGAAAAATATTCAATTTCATAGATAAAATCTCGATCAATGTCATTTTTTCCATTACATTGAACTAATATATAATCAGAAAATTCACTTGTCCATAAAGCTAAATGATATTTCAAATAGTTTTGACGTAAAAAACAAAATGCTCTTCAATCAATGACTTTACCTTTTAATTGTTCTGGTACTTGAGCAGCATTTTGATATGTAATTGGTTCCCAATCATAAATTTTATTAAGTTTTAAGAGAACACACGGACGACCACGATCATATTCAAAATTTTTCTGTGTAATGCATGGTATTTTACTCTTGTTAAACACATTTATATCAAAAAGACATGATTTTCCTTGATAAAATTGTGGACGAAGTTTTTCAATTGAAAGTCCTTTACAATCAATCACTTGTTGATATCGAACATCAGCTTCAGTATAATAAGCTAAATATTGATCTAATTGTTCTTTATAAACACCCCAACCTTCATGATTTCCCCATGAATCACGATGTGATGAACGATATTTTATTAAAGTTTTTTCAATACTTATTTGAGGGCGAAAACCAAGACCTTTAACATGAAAAAAATTCATTGACACAAAAAGAAAATTTATTTATTTATTTATTTATTTTACCAGGATTTGGTCGTAATGTATCAAAAGCAAAAACACTTGAATTTCCTCTATATGGTGGTATACGTTTATCAACAATAGCCATAAAAATACCGGAAAATTATGCAAATATACCAGCCATAGACATGAATAATACAAAATAGGAAAAAGCAATTTGTGCCCATTCTGAACCATCTCTTCCACAGACTTCACGATTTCGTGGATTATAAAACCAAAGGCGAACATTATGCCATTGTTCTTGACTTGTTAATTTATCATTTTTAATAAGTATTTCTTCTTTATTTAATGCTGATCTATCTGCCATTGAAAATGGATAAGATTTTGCAGATATTGACATATAGGTTGAATCAGCTACCATAGCTTAAACTGAACAAATATTTGATCGAAGAAATATTATAAACAAAGTAGAAGTGAATGGGCTGTTTATTTTAGTTGACAATCATATTGTAAGGACTTGAATATCAAATCATCGGTCATTCAATAGAGGTCATTATGCTAACAGTTCAAGCGCTCTCATTGGACACGTCATCTGACCTTTTGCCCGCTTATAAGCATGGTGACCGCTGCATCATCATATCTACCTTTTCTCTCATCTCTTCTACTATACTTCTTCTCTGTGTATTAGAATTTCTTCTCAATATTTGTATTGAGGGTGGTGATAACGCTACTCCTCTAGTTTGTCATTATAATCACAATAAAATAAATGCTGCAGTAGTATTGAAGCAGTTCATCCCTATTTTTCATTACAGTCATTAGTAAACATCAATAATAGGAAAATATTTTGTATTCATATGTTTTGAACATTTTGATCGAATTGATGTTTAAAGTTAAAATCAATTTCAAACAGAACATATTCAAAGTTCAAATTGATGAGACTTGAATTAAAATAAAACTTTCTTAATAATTGTCCATATGTTCAAAGACAAATCGATTATTAGTGGTTATATTTATTTGATTAATAGTAATAATTTACGAACAAAGGAAATTCATTTCTTTAATCGATAACTTTCAAAAACAAAATATCTTACAGAATCTCTAACAATCATAAGAACACAATCTTTTACTTTTTTTCGATTGTTCTATTCGAAGAAAAGATTTTCTGAATAAATCTTAACAAATGTAGCATTTTTTAGGATCTGATACTCCTAAAAAATCAAATACAATCATAAATGAGATATTCTGTAAATTCGATAATTTTTTTGTTATCAGGTTTGATTTACTTAATATGAATGTGTATCTCTTTCTTCCAATATAAATTCCCTACTCTTCTTAATTCAAAAATATGGCATTAAGTACCTGTCAATAGATCGAACAGAAGTCATCACTTGAATTTCTCTTTTCGGACAGAAAACTTTTATCGCTTGTTTTTTCATCAATTTTAAATTGCATTCGTATCGTATGTATGTGATGGTACGAGATAAAGATTGTGTACGATCTTATACATTAGTGTTTTACCTAGGTTTCGTTTTTCAGGTGGGCAAATCGAACTTTCGGGTAGGTGTTGCCCGTCCAGTAGATAAATCACTGTTACGCATTACTGTAATGCTTCCAAAATATTTTAGAAGCGTTTTTTCGGGAGTATCACAGGGTGTGAGTGTCCAGTTAAACCAAAAGATCACCCACACCCACATCGTTCTTTAAATTACTAACCGTAGATATAACGAAGAATGTTCAAAAATTAAACAGTTTTGCAACATTATTTTTTATACTTTATACTATTAATCGAATTAAGAGAGAAGACGTATGTCTGTACTCAACATTTCTATTTATTTCATCTGATTCATTTTTTTTTCTAACAATAGTCGAAGAGGTTAGAATCGTTGATAGCAATCGACTTCAATTCTCATTATACCGTGTTCATATGTACAGTACTATCAGAACGTTATAGTCTTCAAAAGATTCCGATTTCTGATGCAGTTTTGTTAATACAATGTTTTTTTTTATCAAATTCCTTCTAGGCAGGCAGTTTTAGAAAAACAAACATAGTTTTCAACATTGACTTGCAACTTTGTAAAAATGAAGAGCTTAATTAGATTATTTCATATTCAAAGTTTCATCAGTTTTGAAATTTTTAATATGAAGTTATGAATTTCTCGAAATATCTGTGCTTCACAAAATATTAAAAAGAGTATATATTTCGAGAAATTCATAACTTCATATTAAAAACTTCAAAACTGATGAAACTTTGAATATGAGATAATCTCATTGAGCTCTTCATTTTTACAAAGTTGCAAGTCAAAGTTGAAAACTATGTTTGTTTTTCTAAAACTACCTGCCTAGGAGGAATTTGGTAAAAAAAAACATTGTATTAACAAAACTGCTTCAGAAATCGGAATCCTTTGAAGACTATAACGTTCTGGTGGTACTGTACATATGAGCATGGTATGATGGATATTGGAATCGATCATCAACGGATGTTTGATCGTTGAAATCCAATACTTAGAAGTGCTTAAATGTGTAACAATTCAAGTGCTTGAATTCCTGACTGTAAGCGCTTCTAGGTTGCCTAAAATGTGCGCTTGCAAGCACTTTCTAACCTAAAATTTAAGCTATTTTAAGCTAGCTTATTCGTTTAAATTTTCACATGGGGTAATACAATTTATTTGATTAAAAGTAGTAAATTAACAGTTTAATGTGTTGTCTTGTAATTAATATGATTTTCTTTATTCCGATAATGAGTATATAATTAAATATTGGTATAAATTCAGCATCTTGTTCTATTTTCTTTAGAAGTTCAAATACTCTTATTATTAAATGAATCATCTTCCACTAGCATTCTTTTCTAAGATTATCCTCGGAAATTGGAGGAAATAAATGTTTATTTGTTTCATTTATATAATAATCAGGATTATATAAACCATCTCTTCGACGTCCATCAGCTGTTGTTTCAATCATATCACTTGTTGGTGATGCTCGTCTTGTAATCGACTACAAAAAAAAAGCCGATTTTCTTTATTTTAAATTAAAAAAAACTAAAATCTTACAGCTAATGATGATAAAGAGTTGCTTAAATAAACAACAGCAGATTGATCATTGTCATTTGAACTAACCATTTCATCAATATCTTGTTGTTCAAATTTTGATTTAAACATTTTTTCATAATGTATACTAATTAATTCTACAATAGCATTACAAAATTTAATATCATAAATAAATGAAACTGCTTCAAATTCTGGTTGAAGTAAAGATGGACCAAAACAAACATCGAAATTTATAGATGCCATTAGATTTGGACAACACTTCTCTAATATATAGTTTTTACACAATGTATATCCATTATATGCAGACAAAAAATTATTAGTGTTTCTCACTCGGTATATCTCTTCATCTCATTGAAGGTTCACTCTTTTTTTTTGTATTAATTTAAAAAATAGCAGCTGCTTTTATTCAGAGTCCTTTTACACTTCATTTTAGTGAGATCTAATCTTTTTTTAAGTAAACAATGAAATGAAACATTTTGAATAATTTTTATTGATGCTCAGCATTAACTTCAGAATGTTAACCAAATCAAAAGATCCAGCACTTCAACTAACAACAACAACAACAATTTAGATTCGTTGGACTTGAAGAACCGAAAACTTGGATTATATCCAAGAAACTAATATTGATACTAATAAAGAAAAGATTCCAATTGACTTCAACACTCCAGCTTCAAAATACTTGCAGACTTGAACACATTACTATTCCGATATATTTGACTGTAAAACACCATAAAGTTCACCGACCAAAACGGACACGGAGACTTTAACACTTTAAGATTAGAACTTCCTTTACGATTTTAACATAAAGACTCTTTCGATTTCAGTAAGTATGCTAATAAAACGCATTAACTTTAATAAATATAGAAGCTTTATGAGGTCACGACTTGGACTGAGTTCATGATTTTGGTTGATTTAATGACTCTATATTTAAAACATTTGAGAATTTCAGATCTTCAAGACTATGATTCAAGTTCAACACTTTGGTGTGAGTGTGGATTTGGGTGCACGATATTGGTTCCATCTTTCATTCATCCACACTCACACCCTGTTTATCCTTTGTTTTACTTTTTGACCTCATTTTGAATTAACAATATAGTAAAGCAGAAAACTTTTTTCTGTATTTGAAACATCAAGATTGTCATTATTCGTCTCATAAAAATAAATTATCAAAGTAAACTATTTTAGGTTTTTTTTGTTATTTTTAATGCGCACAAATTTTCTCTGCACAGGGATCGTCATCCTTGTTCCTGGTATATCAATTGAATTTTTCAATAAATGCTCTCTCATTTTAATTCGACTTGAACAGTTTTCGTTATATTGAAGTGATAAAAATGATTAAGCAAAATGACTTTATTATCGATGATCTTATTTCTTGTTCGACAAATTGGATGTCGCAGTAGAAAGAAGCCTTATTCTAATAAAACGCGTTTCTCACAATCACACACGCATTAAAAAAAAAGAACTCTTCAAAATTGTTTGTGAAAAAATGATTTTTTAGATAAAAAAAAACGTCTTTCATCATTTCGAAATAAAACTCATTTTTAAACGATCTTTATGGAAGTGTTTCTGCTGAGAAAAACACTTTTTTTCTTAAAAACGCATTGAAATGAACTTTTTTTTAACCACGTTTTGAATGGACAAAACGCATCGACAAAAAATCGATGTATTTAAAATGCACGGGTAGTATGTTTTCTCCAAAATCTGCATTGAAACCCAGTTTTTCTATTAAATATTTTTCATGAAGATATTCTTTTCTTTATGGAGATTAATGATCTGTCGTTGTACATTTACAATGGTTTATTAATCTTGTCTTTCGTATTGGAGTTCGTTCGCATCTTACATTTATATTCGAAGTTGAATTATGTAGAACGTTCACTAACAAGACTTCATCATAGATAATTTTTGTTCGTGTTTTCGTGTCTAACTAATGATGATATACATGTTGTCTAGAAAATATATTCTCTTTGCCTAGAGAACATTGATGTTGACGTTTGTCAGAAAAGAGAAAGTTATTTCAATGCAAAAATTAATGAAACATTTTCTCGATTTGTCACATTTTTGAGCTTAGAGGTTATCTATCGCTTGCAAAGTAACTCATATATACAATGTCTAATTCTACAGCAGTATTCATTTCGACACTCGGCCTAATTCAACAAAAAATGAGTTTAATTTCGATGCCGGTATTTCTCTTTCTTGGAACTGTTGGAAATATTATCAATTGTCTAGTTTTTCTGCAAAAGACTCTACGTTCGAATAGTTGCAGTATGTACTTTGTTGCTGCGTCGATTGCATACATTCTATTTCTTGATTTTGGAATAGGGACAAGTCTATATTCTATATACTACAAGGATCCAACAACATACATTTTATCCTATTGCAAATTTCGTACCTATTTTCTGTCGTCATGCTTATGTATGGCTCGATTTATTCTTGCATTTGCCTGTGTTGATCGATATGCCATGTGTTCACGAAATGTATGCATTCGAAGTTTTAGTCAACCTCGCATTGCCGCTTATGTCATCACAATCATCGTCGGCTTATGGATTCTTATACCAATTCATGTTCTTATTTTTTTATACAATCGACAATGGTCGATGCACTGTTTCTGAGACATATCTGTATTTTAATGCTGGCTATTCTGTCCTTATTGGAGCGTTGCTACCACCTTGCATAATGGTTGTATTTAGTGTGCTTGTTGTCAGGAATCTGCGACATGTACAAAAGTGTACCTGGCAGATCACCACTAGGAACACAGATCATGTTAGCATTACTCATTCTATGACCACTGGACCGATGGGTGTTCGACTCAAATAGCACGATTATCAGATGTTGAAAATGCTTCTAGTCGATGTTATAATCTATTGTGTATCGAATATACCACCACCCATCAGTAAAAATATACAGTTCAATAACATTCAAATGGAATAAGACTCCACAACAGATTCAATTACAAAATTTTTTGACTTATTTGGTTTCCCAATTTTTTATATATTTTAGTGTATCGGCATCTCTCTACACTAATCTCATGATTTCGAAAACTTTTCGGCATGAACTCAAATCACTCTTTCTTCGACATATTCTTTCGATACGACGTTTCCTCGCCACAGTCCACACAACTGGGAACGTGAACATTAATGTACGACCAATAAATAACATCGTCGAAGCCAATATTGGACAATCAGTACCTCAAAATGAGCGGAATCCTGCGAGAATATACAATGGACAGAAGAAGTAGACACTAACTAAATAGTAGTTCTATATATCCTTAGCCATATATTTGTCTGTTAGGTGCTGTTGTGTTTAAAAGAACAATGTTTAATACAGATTTATGTCATCAAAATTCAGCCTATTAGACTTTGAAAAGCTTGTAGAATTTATGATTTTGATATAAAAAAATAGTAGTTCTTTCGCTGACTCTAAATTGTTGAGATAGAAATTGTGAAGTATATTTAATAAACTTTTCATTTGTCAATAATTTCCCTAATCTATAGAGATCGAACACAAAATTTAACCACATATCCTGATAGGTCCAAGGTCGCATTATTCACAAACATATAATTCAAATTATATCCTTTTTCTATCAGAATATTGATCTTGATCAAAGTTCTTTATATGCAGACATTCGCAAATGAATGAACATCATGTAGACAGTGTTTCTTGCAATTACGTAGTAAAATAGACTATTCTAAAACTTAAAGTAAACTAGATAATAATAAATGAATCAAAATCTATGACTAACTTCAATCAGGTAATTTGATTCTAGTACTCTAAGACTCATGCTGAAGTCAACACCTACTAACGAGAGTATCTCCTGCAATGCTAAATCAATTTTCGATCGAGATAATGTTTGTTCAATGAACTGGTATGAGAAATGGCTTGAGACTTTCCATAGACTAGAAAAGTTTGAGATTTCTAGTAAGCCAAATACTGAAATTCGAAAATTGCAATTTTATTATCTAGAAAAAGGCCACATTTTGTTCTTATGTTCATAACATATCATAGGACTCACAAAAAAATCTGAAACTTTCACCATGGAGACTTGACATTCCTATGATCAAGTTTATCTATGAATATTTCTATTGGAAGTTACTCAAAAAAATATAAAAGTTTCAGAATTATTAGTATTTATATACCATTTACTAGAATGTGATGTGTTGATCATTTTCGTAAAAATGGTTTTTGCTTTGAACTAAAAATCAGGCAGCTACTATCGAAATACTGAAAGATGTAAAAGAAATAATTACATACACTCACGTATACGAGTGCTTCATATTGAATAATATATTTTTAGTCTCTTTTTTAGTTTTACTTCAACTAGAGATCATGAAAGTGATCTCTTTTGACTCTGATTTGGTTTCATGCTCTTTACTCCTTTGCTACTAGTATCTACTTATTGTGAGTTTGACAAAGATATCTGTTTATTCATACTTTTTCATCACATACAGATATGCCTCTGTAATCTCAATTCAAAGAAATGGACTAAAATGGAAAGACAACCTCATGATGTTTTGAAATAATTGAGTAGTTGCAAGATAATGAACATGAAGGATCTGTTATCGAGAATGATGAATTGTTCTTGTTTGACATTTAATTAAAAGTATGCTGACTTTGACAAGTTGGTTATTTTGAAGAAACTATCATGCTGATTAGATTTTTCAGTTACTTTCTTTCCATTAACTCCATGCAATACATTGCGAAAAGGATAATAAATTTGCTCCTATTTTCGATGATCTCTCTTTGCAATTCTGAAGACAAATTTCCAAAGCAGAGATTCCAGAGCTTAGGTTAACTTGAAGTTTTGAAAATGATGTACAGGGTGTGGGTGTGGGTATGGGATATGGATGGTGTGCGTCAGAGCGTTCTGTTCATGAACAACACACTAAGCTCATTCATGTCCACATGCACTCACATGCGCAAGCATGCTCACACCCAGACACCTAGAAATCGTAAAGCGATCGATCAAAAACTGTTGGTTCATCATGCTCATTCTGAGTGCTTACAACTTGAGGGTGCGCGTGTGGATGTTGGTGTGGGGTGTGGGTGTGTGGCAAGGGAGAAAAAGCAGATTTCAAGATTCCCAAAGATTTCTAGAGATTTTCAAAGATTTCTAAAGATTTCAAAAGACTCTAATTAAAGAATATCTGCGTGATCTAATAGATCTCTGCTTGACAACTTGTTCAGTCTCATTTTATACGCGTTCCTATATGACTTAATCCCTCCACTGCAGAGAAAGTCGTATAAGATAGAATGAGTTTGTGACTATGTTTTCATGTTTCCATTCAACTATCTAGTCACATAGTTGCATGTATTGATATAATCTTAACATTTCAATGAAGACAATCGAAGACGACAAATCTAAACCTTTAATCGGCTTCCAGAAAATTCGAACTTGAGATTTTTCATTCAAGAAACACTTTCTACAGTAATAACCATTCTTTTGTAAAGTTTCAAAAAAGATAATCAGGGCTGCGGAATCCAAATCCTTAATTAGTTAATAACTATTCGTGGGCTTGGTTTGTCTTTGATAAAGCGCATTGTTTCTCTGAAATACTGTTCACCTGCTGAGTAATCAAAGATATGAATGTCGCGAAACCTACTATAGACTGCAATTGTTCGACCATACTTGCGTTTCTTCAAACTTTATAAAAAGCCGTTGTTTTCTTAAAATAGCTTTTTTTGATAGAAAAAGTGTAATTAAATGGTATTCGCCTTAAGCCTATCACTTCTTCAAATAATTTTAACTGAATAAAGTATTAGATGGAAAAATGTTAAACTTGATATTTAATTTTGAGCTTTATATTAACATTCAATATAAATGGTACTTGTGACCACAATTCGCTTGACCGTCCACTAAACTTGACTTAACCTTCGCCTCTCACCACCTACAAGACTCTTTTGAGAACTGCTGCTCAAGAACACGTGCTCATGTAAAAAGAAATACTTATTTTATTGCCAGAGACAACCATTTTATGAGTGTGGGTGTGAGGTGCGGGTGTGGGGGTGGGTTGATGCGGAATGTGAGTGTGGGGTGTGGGTGTGGGTGTGGGTATGGGTGTGGGTGTGGGGTGGGTGTGGGTGCGGGTGTGCGTGTGGGTGTGGGCGGATGCGGAGTGTAGGTGTGGAGGGTGAGTGTGGGTGTAGGTGTGTGGGTGTGGATGTGGGTTTGTGGGTGTAATCTATTCAGACAAGACCCACACCCACACCCGCACACCCACACCCACACCCGCACACCCACACCCACACCCGCACACCCACACCCACACCCGCACACTCACACCCACACCCGCACCCGCACACCCACACCCACACCCACATCCACACCCACAGCCACAGCCACAGCCACAGCCACACCCATACCCACACCCACATCCACACCCACACCCACACCCACACTCAGGCCACACACCCACCCACAGCCACAGCCACAGCCACAGCCACACCCTCACCCCACACCCACACCCACCCACACCCACACCCACACCCA